GATCAGATCGAACGATTCCTTAGAAAGTGCCTTCGCTGAAACCATGGCCTGACTGACCTGCCATCGGTCAACGACCTTACGTGGTACATATACATTTTTGATACCAGACGACCTGCCATTTAATTGTATAAAGTTATGCAAAATTGGGCGTGGTTACGCCACGCCGCTCCGAAACCATTCCGGAAAAACCTTTGGGAGGGTCAATTTGACCCCTGCCCGAGCGCGTGTTAATAAATCTACGGATTTAGCCAGTCCACAAATAGCTCTAGTTCTCACTTAGTATGGGGCTCATTGTAAAACAAGCGCTGCAAATAATTTTTCTAGTTATATGCAGCAACGTCCGTAGAAGACCCCATGAGTCAGAAAAGGATACTTCGACCTTCTAGGTGTCTAACTACAAAACATATGCCTGTGGGCCCAATACATTCGATGAGTAAACACGCTCCCTCATTGCTAACTCTTGTTGCAAAGATTCCGTTAATCAGCTCCTGCGTCTCAGTTAGCGGCAAGATGCGTGGGGGTAGCGCACGGCGAGTCACGCCTTCCGTCCGGCCGGGCTGTCGAGCCAAAACTTTCCATTGCCTCTGGGCCTTAAAGCGATGTCCAGTGTCTGGTTTTTTTTGGGTTGCACACATGCATTTGTGGCTGCTTCACTTTTTGCAGAGTACTGGTATGCGCTGATCATGCGACGTATATATTCAACACAACAAGGTGACATAATGAGCACAGGCATTCGAATATGGTCACTTCCCTTTGTTGACGAGGAACCGAGAGAATCTGTTCAGCTTTCCCTGCCGGCCTATCTTCCCAGTCTTCGTCTTTTGGAAGATGCACTCGAGACCAAAACTTTCCCTGAACACTTCCCAAGTTTTGCTCTTGTGTGGGTTGTCCAAGTCGGACCTCTCCAGCTTAAGGCGATTGTGTTGGATAAACCCAGTGTGAAACCAAAAGAACCAGGCCGTTTTTTCATAGCCTCGGGGCACTCGTCGTGAACTGCACTTGAACTTAAACCGGATGTCACCTTTAAAGGCTGGCACTGACTGGAAGGTTACGAACAATTCGTCATCTTCCTTATCGTAGAGACGCAAGGAGCCCTTTCCGAAGTGGTTCTCGTAGACCTTTCCCTCTTCCGGCGACTCGATCACCAGGGTGATGTCAGAGCCGTCACCCTTGCCCACCGTTGCCATGCCCCAGATTCGAATGCTCCTCAGCGTTAGCTCCACCTCGGTCGGTAGCCTGTGTTTGTGGTTGCGAATGGCCTCGTAGTATCCGACATATCGGCACTGACTCGGGGTTTCCACGCCCTGGAAGCTGTCTCCTTGGCTCAGGTCCGTGCGACGGTACCCGAAGTATGAAAGGCTGTCTTCAGCGGTCGAAAACAGCCCGTTATCAACCAGATATACGCAGATCATGGTGCCCGTTCTCCCTTTGCCGCCTTTGCAATGCACGGCTATCACGTTTTTCTCATCCTTTTCCAGCCATTCGGATGACATGGCTGCAAATTTAAGCATGTCTTTGCAGGTCGGTGGGTTGTGGTCTTCTATAAAAAATCGCTCCACTTGGCCATCGAAAATCTTGTCATCGTAGCCTCTTTCCTTACAGAGATTATATATCTTGTAGTGTCCTCCATGTTTGGTCTCAAAGAAACGAGCAACCTCTGTGATGGGATTTCGGTAGAAGGTCATGTGTCCCGAAGAAGGAAAGCTCATGGCAATGACCCGTTCTGTGACATAAGTCAAGTCAAGGTCGAATCCGTCGTCGTGATACCGGCGCTTATTTTGCGAAACAAGTTGTCTTGCAGCACGCTTGATGTTCTCGGTTTCTTGGTATAGTCGAAAGAAATGAGCCATTCGACAGAATCTTAGAGAAAATATGAAATACCAGAAAGGTGATCGATGCCTTTCCGCAATGTAGTACTGCCCGCTAACAATCCTGTCCACAAATAGATAGGATGTACCGATTGTTGAAGCAATGATGATGAAGACATCTACAATGTTGTACCAAAAATGAAACATTGCACGCAAGCTGAAAGCAACAACTCGGAGGCAAATTTCGATTACAAAAAACCACGAAAACGTAAAAGAGCACACGATATAATACAAATGTTGGTCCATATCTCGTGTTCCCAAATCAATGATCATCAGAGCTATGTCTGCGATGATCAGCATGGCGAACAACAGACGAAAGAAGATGTTATCAACCACCTTTTTTATCGTCCAGCGTATGTACTGGAGCGTGCCATGTTCTGGTTCGAGAGATGGGTGCAGGAGGTCCAGGAATGCTTCTGTGGCCTCCTTGCTCGTATTGGCTAACTGGGCTGCGTCTTCTGGCTGGGGCTGCACAAAGAACAGTGAGGCACGCTGTATAACTTTCGCAGGATTCTCCCCCGCGTCGAATCCGGCATGTTGAGACGCATTGACTCCTGAGCCGAGGGGCATCCCTCCACTCGGAACTGAAAGAAGTGCATTGCCATCTCCATGTTTTGAATTTGATGGGGAAGGTGTTTTCTTCTTTTCCGAGTCGTCGATTTCAGGTGCCTCCACGTCTAAGCTCTTTTCAGACGACGGGTGAACTTTCTGAAATGTAAGATGTGAAGTTATCCCATTTTGTTGATTTTGTTCACGCAACAGTAGAGTTGCGTTTGATAATTTTCAGGTGAAAATACATACAACTCTTTCCGAAGAGACTTATAGCAAGTCAGAGTGCAATCGTAGTTATTATTGTGGCGTCAGTCATAAAAAACCGATCCAGAGCTTTCACGGGAAAAACGATTTAGATAGATGTAGGTCGCTCGAAAAAGTAGTACAAAATGTAATTCGCCAATAGGTCTTGGATGACAAACTGCCAAGGTACATCCCCAATCAGTGCAACCGTGTTTACCCAGGCTATCTAGGAGAGCCTTGTCAGTTAGGAAGTTTGGAAAACGCCTACGTATTACTTTTAAGTAAAGTGTCTCAAGGAAATTTGATTTTTGCATTCATTACCTTAATTCCCTGAAAGGATCTGTCTGTTTACCCGCAAAATTAATATGATTCAAGAACAATTGTTATTGGTATAACGTCATTTGCCAGTATCTATGGAGACCAAAGATTTATAGACCTTTATGTCACAATGTTTTGTATGAACGCAAAAACGCAGTCGTCAGAATATTTTTTTTAAAAAATTGTATCCTCACATCATTTGAGATTGCAAACCAGCAAAGCTCCTTCGGCTGACCTGGTTGTTGGAGACTGCCGTATGTTTCAGTCCCTTCCCACAATATTTTCTCGACGCCGACACTGGTTTATCGCTATCGATTGAGCAAATTGCAACAAATACCACGATGCGTAGATGTCATATCGAATATCCATAGCATAACCACGAGTTGGCTGCACTAGCTGTGTACGTGATGGCTTTGTCCCAGGTCAATTTTTATCGGTGACCTTAATGAGACACATATCCGAATGCATCCATCAGCTAGACATCTTACACAATACTTTGGTATGGGGGATTAATGATCTGGTGTAAAAATGATTGATTAGGCATCTACCCGATACAGAACATTTAGCTGTACTATCTCATCATGTCTACTTACTGCTATCGGAGCCAGTTTTTCTTCTCACTCCAGGGAATAACCCGTGGAAAAATGCATAACAGCTTATGTCTATATGCCACCACTGCCTTTACAAGCAACCTCGGGAAGCAGAAGCTGCCGATGCAGCATTACCATCAGTTTCCAAGTCATTCTAGTTGCTTTGATAGCTCCTTTATATCCTTGTGCAAACAAACGCTTTTTCGCTATTGCACTTATGTCTAAGATGATTGGGATATATGCCCGACAAAAACATTCCCGATATTGATACGTACTTAGACTACGACCAGGGCAAGCGCCACCTAACTACCGACTGCAATTGTGTGAGATCTTTGAAAATAATGCCACCAACACGTGCTGTTTTCTTTGGGCTTTCCTTATGTTACTAGCTTAAGTTAGCATTTATAATGTTAATACAAAAGAAACGTAAAATAAGACGCAATGGTACGAGAATAAGATGAGAATAGATAAGGCGAAGTAAGACGATAATAAGACGTCAAAAGTTACTCTTTGGGCAATAGAGTGACCTAAATCAAGAGAAAGGCTTTCAATAATATATTCTGCCTGATCTTTTATCTGCCGTTACGGCATGGCATGCCGCAGTTTGTGGAATCATTACATTAAAAGAATAGTCAGGTTGAGATCTGCTGTAATTTATGGACACCTTTTGTTCTCGTCTGCAACTCTTTTAATGTAGACTTGACAGTATAATTTTCTTCTCACTGATGTTGGCGACTACTATTAGAACGAGCCTTAATCAAATCGAACAACATCTCGAAGTCAACTCTTGATGTTGCATCTGTGAAAATATGCTATCATCAACTTGATTGCTGATGATGCGCCCCTTGGTGAAGACATGTCCGAAGGGGGAAAAGTGCAAGCAAGGATTAAGTGGTACAAAATGATAATCTTTTAGCACAGTCGATTGTCATCTCATCTCATTTCATTTGTTGGCGGGAGATCGACCATTAATACAAGAAAGGGAAAGATGCTGAATGCATCACATCGGCCAGCTTTCATTGGCCCCTCTTCATTTTGGCCTGTCACCACTGCAAGCGGCAGCTGCTCAGCGGAAATGTCATGAGGCCGATAGCAATGAACTGGCCTCGCGGCTTTCCTGGTGGGGAGCTTTGTACGAGCACTGGTACAATCCCGATTTCAGCACCTTGTGCGGTGTAAGCCTCGGTGTCTGTGGTAATTCAGGACGGTTGCAGTATTACCCAATCGTTGCCTCCCTCCGCAATGTATAGCTCTGGAAGGGTTAGTAATCTCCAAAAGAGCTCTAATCTAACCAAATCTGGCTAAGCCCAGCGATCACACTTACATGACACGTTAGACAATCTACTTTTGTTTAGGATATGATTCTGTCTCTCCTTATTGGGCACAGTCCTTCCTCGTTTATGATGTTGCCTTTTTTCTTTCTCGACAGATTAGAACCCGCCACACTAAGCAAGTCATCAGCACGAAGTCATCATGAGCGTGTCGTGGCCCTCCCAGCCGAGCCCCAGCTCACCTTCCACGCCGCAGGAGACCAGTTTCTTCTCGGCCTCCGACCACTCCAAGACGCTGCTGCAGTCTATGCACAAGATGCGCTCGAACGCCCAGGTCAGCCCAGGGGAAGCGGCAGGACTTCACCGGTCCGATCCCAGCAACCTTTTCTCGGGAGGCTCGCCTGACTTTTGTCAGCCTCTTGAGATGTGCAGTTTTCCGGTGGCTTCGTGCTGTTAGAAGGGCCAACTACTGTTTAACTATGAGTATGAGGGCGGCCTCTGTCGCAGGTTGTCAAAATGTCCAGATAAGTTTTAAATGCTAGTTTTGCTTTTGAAAGCCGTCTCTGGCAGCCTTTTTTAGGGTCGCTTCTTTTTCAGCTGTGAGTATATTGTCCTGTTTTGCAACTTGTACGTGAAAACAATACCGTGACAGATCACTGACCGGTGAAATGTGACGATGAATGTACCAGCTTACAGGCCATTTTATCTGCATACCTAGTTGGGATATAAAAAGTTTTTTTTCTTTCCCTTCCGTACCCTTCCGTATAAGCAAAAATGTGAATTCTGCCAGCTGGGAGATAATTTAGAAAACGAATACGTTGCTTTGACCCCCTGGTTCACTTGTGAAGATGAAGTGAGCAGGAGCTCTGAGAATCAGTGGATTATATACGCCAAAGTTACCGTGTATGTAGTTTGAAGACTGTTAGATACCGGTTTAGAGCCATGATTTATGTTTCAGCTCTGCGATGTGGAGTTTGTGGTCGGCGAACTGAAGATAAATGCCCACCGCATAGTGCTGGCAGCGTGCAGCCCCTACTTCAGCGCCATGTTTACCAGTAAGTCCCGGCGCACACAAGCGTAAAGGCCAAGCCTTATCAGACTCGTGTGAGCTCAATGGATTCCTCCGAGTGTTTACGCGCCTTAGCACGACTCACTCTGGAAGCGTCCCGTTGTGCCAAATTGGACCAAATGTATTCAGGGAAGGTTTTGGGAATTACGCGATCGACGCAAAGCTCCTCAAGGCAAAGACAGGTGTCAATTACACTACAGCGGCACGCATCTAACGCTGTTTAGAACCTCCGTGATCCAGACATTTCACCCGCTGCTAAAACACTGCCTTTGAATTGGCATGCGGCCGACGGCCGGCGGGTGGCCGTAATGAGTAAGAGTCGCCGGACAAAGACATCGCGGCTCGCCGGCGACTGTTGAATCTGCGCCAGACGCGCGGCCGGTACGACGCAACGTCGGCGCCCGGCAAAAACACTGAATAGGGGGCGGGGGCGGCTCGATACCTCCCGCCGGCAGCGGGAGCCGGCTCAGGCCAATCCGGCGCCGCCGAGCCCCAACTGGCACTGAAAGCTGGGAAAGCCAGTGATGCGTGGTTGAGCCGGCCGCCAGCAGCCGGAGCCGGCCCGCCGCCGGCCGACTGACCGTCGGTCGCCCGGCCGCCCGGTGACGGGCCTGGCGAACGGAGCCGCTGCGGCGCACTCGGAGCCGATCCCAGCGCACTCGGAGCCGATCCCGGCGCACGGCGAGACGGGACCTACCCGAAACGGCAACGTCACTAGGTGGACCGCTGGGAGCATCGATCGGGTTGTGCCCGAGTTCACTGGGGCTTGGTCAGCGACCGGGGTCAATGAATGGCCTGGCTCCAGTCTGTGTATCCTTTGGCGTGATGCTGGGTGGGGCAGCGAAGCAACACTTGATGTCTTAACTCCAGGGATACCGGCGCGGCGTGACCCGATGTGAGACGCCTCCGGCTGGTAAAACGCAGGTTCAAGCGTGCCGCCAAGTCGCCGTCGCATTCCAGCCGCGCGAGAGTCACGAAACCGTCCTGCTGATATAGACTGCACCGCAAGACCCCAATGCACCGCGGAGCAGCCGCGAGACGTTCTCTGTCTCCCGGAGGGTCTGCGAGGCGCGCGTGCTCACCACGCCTCGACTAAGTGCTCTGTCATACTCAGTCTCTCAACCTCGGCGCTGCGGGGTCGGGCGGAAGGCCGGCAGCGGATGCAAGCCGGCGATCGCTGACGGATGGCCGGGCACGGCGGCCGACGCCGGGCCGCCGCTGGTCGGTGACGGCGTCGCTACATCCCGCCGGTCCCGCTCTCGCCGCGGTGGCCTCTGTTGTGGCCTCGCTCGGCCTGCCCCGTCCGGCGGCCGTCACGGGGGTGCGTCGCGCCGTGCCGCGCCGCTCGCACCGGAAGCGGCCGGCCCCGGCCCCGGCCCCGGCCCCCAAGGCCGTCTCTCTTCCAGAGGCGGTCGGCAGCCGGGATTGGCAGGCGGCTCTCGGCGGGAGAGGGGGGGGGGGGGGGGCGGGGGGGCATGCGGTCATGAGGCGACTGGCCGCCTACCTCGCTGCGGATCGATCCGGCTCCGCTGGCCGGCCGGCCTCCGTCGCCGTGCGCCCGCCGAGCCGGCCTCCGTCGCAGTTGGGCGGCGGCCAGCGGTCGGCGGCGCACGTGGGGTTCAGCTGACGCCGCGAGCCGCATCATCGACGCACTGGAGGCGCCGGGCGGGGCACAAAGGAGTCGACCGCCTCCGGTCTGCCATCTGGTGTCGGCCGTCGGCGGATGGACCGTCTAATGCAGGCGGCGGACCCGGCGCGCACGTCGCGTCCGTTCGCAAAAAAACAAAAACAAAAAGAAACAGACGTGTATAGAACGCAGGACGGTCCGGCAGACGCCTTCGCGGATACTGTGCTGTCATGTGTTCGTTGCATTCGGCATTCTGGATAAGCGATGATAACGGGCAGTGTTTTGTGTTGTCTGTATTAATGGGTCTTGCTTGTAACTAGTACGCATTGCGTAGGTATTAGGAGTTTGACCTTGAAATATATCTAGGTGTGTATGCTTGATTGTTCTGAGGCATTTGTGATTTAGTTTGTTGCGAGCAGTTCGAAGCGCGTAGTATAAATGAAGAAATTACGGAGCATTAACGAATCGCAGCATTAGCATATTAATGGGCATAGTCGTAATGGTCATTAACGGACCATTAATTGAGACAATAGGGCGCTCTGAACACATAGCATACGTTTCCTTTTTGTCTTTATCTACTTTTATCTGGCTGCAACGGCAATAGGGTTTTATTTATTCTGGACCACGCTGGTGAGACTACACTGCGCTCAGGCCATTACGATGTTGCATTACCTCGCCCTGACAACGACCTTCTTTGACCCTTAGGTGACTTGGCCGAAAAGCGACAGTGTCAAATCACCCTGCATGACATCGATCCGCACGCCATCCAGCTGCTGGTAGACTTCGCATACACAGGCGAACTGCAGATCAGCGAGGACAATGTGCAGGTCAGTGACCCAGCCCCGGTACGCCGGACATGGCAGCGGCGCATCGCCATGATTGCTGACATTTCGGAGGGACAACGGAGCGGTGACATGCAGTTTGGTGCATGAACTGACTGACGATGCGCAGACCAGTGTACTGATGCAGCGGTGGCATGCACGAGTCAACGACCCCAGACATGATGACGGGTACATGTGGGCACCTCCGTGGCAATCATGGCGGACAGTGGACTTCCATTGTGATGACGTCACCAAACGGAACTAGTTTTGATCGTCATCGGCATATAAAGAGATGGGGCGAAACAGTGTCATTAGTACCTTTAGAAAGCGATCATTGCGCCGAGATGTGCCGATGTGCATATGGACAGGTCGATATTCGACAAACTTATTACTTAGCTTTTTCTGATTCGTTCAACTCAGCGTCATTAGCAGGCCACAAATCGGTCCTATCGATGACGCCGTCTGGTCGGCCAGTCTCCTGCAATCGGGTGGTCTGACCGCCGCTTCGGTTTTGAATGCAAGGTACGTGCGAAGTGATATATGCTCTGAGGCACGTCAACCGTTAACCACTGTTTTGTGAAGAAATTTCCCTCTGCTTCCGATGATTGTTGGCTCCTCAAGCCGCGGAGCTGTTGTCAGTTTGGTCGATATAAATCCAATTTCGGTTGGTGATGCAAAGGCAGGTTCCACAGGAGGCCATCAAGTGCATGCCTCCATCACTGCCACGCCTAGTTTTGTCCATAAGATTGAATGCTGGGTGTGAAGGTCACACCTGAGGAGCGGCCCGTCCGGACACTGCGCGTGAAGACCGCGGCTTATTTGCGATTCGTTGCGATGAATTCGCTTAGGAACAGCTCCTTGCCAGAGGCTGCTGTAGGGCTCGGCGTCAATGTCCAAGACATGTCGGGCTGCCCGGATGTCACTCACTTTCACCAGCTGGCCCTCGCAAGGTTGCACCGGCCCAGACCCAGAAGAAACCCAGACAGAGGCCTTTCTGTCCCGCCGCTCACTAGGATCGGAGCCGGCTCTGTCCGGCCGCTCACTAGGATCGGAGCCGGTTCTGTCCGGCCGCTCACTAGGATCGGAGCCGGTTCTGTCCGGCCGCTCACTAGGATCGGAGTCGGCTCTGTCCGGCCGCTCACTAGGATCGGAGTCGGTTCTGTCCGGCCGCTCACTAGGATCGTTGCCGGCTCTGTATGCGTACCGATGAGCCAGGCTCCCGGTCAACGGGTTGGACCAAACTCGCCACCAACGACCGACTCTGATTCACAGCTGTCGGGCACTGGTGTTTCCCTGACACGGACTCCTGGCGGGCCCCTGGAGGTGGCCCGACACGTAACCTTGAGGCACTGCATTGCTCCGGACTGCTCGCTTCAGACGGTCCACCTCATTGGTGTCGGACCTCCGGCGACCCCTGGAGCGGGGCCCTGACGTCGACCACCGAAAACCAGGGCCTCTCCTGACGGCGGGCCAGCCGCTGCCGACGGCCTGCCCGTCCCCTGGCGGCCGGTCGGGGTCGGCGGGTCAGTCGCTGCCGACGGCCTGCCCGTCCCCTGGCGGCCGGTCGGGGTCGGCGGGTCAGTCGCTGCCGACGGCCTGCCCGTCCCCTGGCGGCCGGTCGGGGTCGGCGGGTCAGTCGCTGCCGACGGCCTGCCCGTCCCCTGGCGGCCGGCGCCGGTCGGGGTCGGCGGACAGCCGCTGCCGACGGCCTGCCCGTCCCCTGGCGGCCGGTCGGGGTCGGCCAACGCACATCGGCCGACCCGCTCCGATCGATTTCGGGCGCGGTCTGAGTGACGCGCGGTCGAGCCAAGCAGGCCGGGCGCGGCTCCACTCGGAGCAACAAGTCGGTCGCGTCAGCCGTCCGCCGCTGGCATCCGACGACTGTCGCTCCAACCACGACCCCGGCCCGGCGGGGCCCGGCGGCAGCGCTAGGGAACGGCGCGGAGCTGTTCTAGCAGCCAACCGGGCGACAGCAGCCAGCGACCCCGGCCCGGCGGGGCCCGGCAGCAGCGCCAGGGAGCGGCGCGTAGCTGTCCTAGCAGCCAGCCGGGCGGCAGCAGCCAGCGTGTCGCGTCCACCTGCGAATAGTTTCCTGCGCGGACGTCCGCTGCAGAAAACACGGCAGACCGCTTTAACGATGAAGCGGTTTTCGACATCCTCGCTCCCCGGCGTAGTCGTTTTTTTGGTCATTAATCACGTTAATGGATCGTGTTCTTAGGCACCCAATTTATCACGATGAGCTGCAAGCTGAACGTGTCCGAGCAGCTCGCGAGTCGCCAGCGATAGCGCGTGGTCGGCATCACCTCGGCGCGAGTCGGTGCGGCCGAACCCGGCGGGGTCAACGGCCTCTGTCGGCCGTCTCCAGGGTCACGAGCCGCCGACTGTCTCCAGGCGGCCACAAACCACCGCTCTTCATTGACCGGTGACCGGGTAGCGTGTCGCCGACGCTGAGCCATGGCTGGTACAGAATTAACCACCCGTCAGGTGACGAGGCGGAGGCGGCGGCGGCGGCGGCGGCGGGGTCCGTGACTAGGAAGGTGCCGAGCAGTCTAACCGGAGCCTGACGTGCAGCTCCTCCCCACAGCCAACAACGCGTGACTGTGATTTGCCAACTCGTACCTGGCAACAGACAGCTGACCATTACGCCCCATTGTGTGCCAGAAAGAGCGAATAGCTAATGAATACGTATTATTGCGGAACAGAAAGGCAGGCATATGATGTTTATGTGGTGTGGTTTGGCTGATTACGTTTAGTTTCGCGCCGCGCAGCGTGAACAATTAACAGCTTCGCTGCGCTTTGTGATACAAATGCGGCGAAGTGAAGATGTGGTTTTTGAGCATGGCTGAAAGGAGGCTGGTGCTTTTAGCAGTCCTAGGCACGTCTGATACCTGCTCTCCACTCTGTGGTAGTCGTGATAAAAGACAGACAGCAACGTGCGAGACGGCCGGTGCATGACTAATGGGGCCGGTGGGGAACAACTAGGTGCAGGCAGTGTTTCAAGTAGGTCCCGCCACAGCTCGTGCGGGCTCTACATTTTGAGGGATGTGCATAAAACGTTTGGGATTACACATGCCATCGAAAATCCGCAAGTCTTGTGCAAAAAATTGCTCCAAAAAGCAAGTTCGCCCTGCAGCCTAGCCTCGTTCACAATATGGTCAAGCCAACAGATATGTAATATGTGTCACACTAGATTAGGGTAGTGGGGAAGTATGTCAAACCCATACTCCTTTCGGAAATGAAGCCATCATGCTTGCCTTCAGGGCCCTTGATGTTCCATGGAAGTCAGGAACATGGCGGTTCCTCGTAGAGAAAGAGGAAGACAGAGAGAGAGAGAGAGAGAGAGAGAGAGAGAGGAGAGGAGAGAGAGAGAGAGAGAGAGAGAGAGAGAGAGAGAGAGAGAGAGAGAGAGAGAGAGAGAGAGAGAGAGAGAGGGAGAGAGAGAGAGAGAAGGTCTGGTCTAGACCTTTGGTGCCATTCCGAAGCGCTCAGCTCCGAAGTGTCATGCTCCAATCGCTCGGTGCTGCCCTCCACCCGCCACGACGTCACATGTTTGCTGACGGCAAGGGCGGAAATGGCTCCACGAAAACAAACTGACCGAATATAGCTTAGCCGGCCTGTGTATATCTCAACATATTTTGTTACGAAATAACAGATCATGGCGGATATCGTTTCACATTTTCTCCGAGTATGCAGGTCACATCGGATGTCATATTTTCGATGCCACCATTAACCGGGTTCATAACAGCTAGCAGTGGTCGATGTACTACAGCGAAACTACCGCTTACTTCTTCTGTAGAAATCGCGGGCCCCTCGGAGAAGCGATCACTATCTTTCAGCTTGTCACTTGGCCGGCGTTCCTGCAGGAGAGAGGGACGCGCAAGAGCGCAGGCCGACCATTTCCAGCTGCGCAGCGCGCCGCGCTATCGGCAATATTTGGGGGACCGCGCTGACGTCACTGCCCTGGGGCGCCGCCAGCTTTTCTCCGCCGCCGGGCGGGCCGCGTCTTTGTGCCGATCGCCATATGCGGCGGGCAGCCAACTGCACCGGCTGCACCTGCTGCCCCCGCCCTCCCTCCCCTGCGTGCCGAGGCGGCCCGAGTGCGGCCGCAGCACCAGCCGGCTGGCGGCCGGCCGCGGCCGCCGTCCCTCCGCCGCTGGGGACGCGCCGCGGCCGGCCGGGGTCACTGACCTCGTTCGGTCGGGTCACTGACCTTGCCAGGCCCGCACGCAGCCACGGCGCACAAGGAGCCGTTCAACGGAGCGCCGGATGCTATGATTGGCGGCAGGTGGCGCTTTTTGCTGCGGCTGTTTACCCGGCTGCCCGTTTGCTTAATGGTAAGCGCGAGCGTGCGCAGCTTTTTGTTGCTGTTAGGAATCGGACAGAAAGCACTCCTGGAAAGGTGTGCTCAAAAATACTTTACTGCAAAAACACGCACGACTTGCAAATTGTCACGCTACGTTGTCACCTGTAAACGCTTTGTCACTTCAACTGGTGACAACAACCCACTGTACCACCCAGGCAACAGTCTGGGGTGTGGATTTGGGCTTTGGGTTTTAAGTTTCCGTGGTTGGTTACCGGCCGGTCGTGTCACGGGCCTATGCGTCATCTTTGCTGATGTGAAAGCGTCAAAACGACATTTAGAGCGTTAAGTCGATCTAATCTACACAATCTCAGAAACTCATTACTTTATGGATGACCGATGATTGGGATGTTGTGCCTGTCATTCGTCATGGTTTCAAACAATTGCTGGCCAAACGTTAGCACGGCCATGACGCCCCACGTCCTTGGTCATCATTTTACAGACTGGAAACCAGACCGAGCGTAGCCACATTACGCCAATATCGAACCACCGGAACTTTTGGCGCCGCCCGCCGATATCGAACCACCGGAACTTTTGGCGTCGCCCGCCGTGGTGTAGGGCGAGCCGTTTTACGCCGTGTCGTAGCCTCCCGGATTTTACGACGTGGACGTTTACACGCCCCGGGGGACAGATTTCGACGTTTCCGCCTGTCCTAGATCGTGCGAAACTGGACAGAATGCCCGGCCGAATGCTCCGGTATGCCGGCGGCGAGGCAGCTGCAGGGCCGGCCACGGTCGGCGGTGGCTGAAGTGGTCCCGGGTGACCGGGTCGCCCCTGACGGGCACTGCTGGTCCCCGTAGGTCCTGCTGCTGGAGTGGTTCCGGGTGACCGGGTCGCCCCTGACGGGCACTGCTGGTCCCCGTAGGTCCTGCTGCTGGAGTGGTTCCGGGTGACCGGGTCGCCCCTGACGGACACTGCTGGTCCCCGTAGGTCCTGCTGCTGGAGTGGTTCCGGGTGACCGGGTCGCCACTGACGGACACTGCTGGTCCTCGTAGGTCCTGCTGCTGGAGTGGTTCCGGGTGACCGGGTCGCCCCTGACGGACACTGCTGGTCCCCGTAGGTCCTGCTGCTGGAGTGGTTCCGGGTGACCGGGTCGCCCCTGACGGGCACTGCTGGTCCCCGTAGGTCCTGCTGCTGGAGTGGTTCCGGGTGACCGGGTCGCCCCTGACGGGCACTGCTGGTCCCCGTAGGTCCTGCTGCTGGAGTGGTTCCGGGTGACCGGGTCGCCCCTGACGGACACTGCTGGTCCCCGTAGGTCCTGCTGCTGGAGTGGTTCGGGTGACCGGGTCGCCCCTGACGGGCACTGCTGGTCCCCGTAGGTCCTGCTGCTGGAGTGGTTCCGGGTGACCGGGTCGCCCCTGACGGGCACTGCTGGTCCCCGTAGGTCCTGCTGCTGGAGTGGTTCCGGGTGACCGGGTCGCCACTGACGGACACTGCTGGTCCCCGTAGGTCCTGCTGCTGGAGTGGTTCCGGGTGACCGGGTCGCCCCTGACGGACACTGCTGGTCCCCGTAGGTCCTGCTGCTGGAGTGGTCCCGGGTGGCCGGGTCGCCCCTGACGGGCACTGCTGGTCCCCGTAGGTCCTGCTGCTGGAGTGGTTCCGGGTGGCCGGGTCGCCACTGACGGACACTGCTGGTCCCCGCAGGTCCTGCTGCCCGCCTCCAGTCTGCTGCAGCTGAACGGTGTACGAGAAGCCTGTTGCTACTTCCTGCTGAAGCAGCTGCACCCCTCCAACTGCCTGGGCATACGCAGCTTCGCAGGTGGGCCCTGGCTCCTAGGCTGCCACCCCTCCCTGACGTCGGCCACCGCAGGTGGCGGGCCGAGCAAGTGCAGCAAGTGGGAACATTCCGCGGAAATTACTCTCGATCGGCAGGAGGACTGATGTCTGTAGTTTAGCATCTTCAACTACCTGATGTCCTCGCGGATCAAAAAACTGTATCGCGGATACCTGACGCAAAGCATTCCTTTGTCCACAATAAGGTGTAACGAGCGTGGTCCAGAAGTAAACTGTTGGTATATGGACCTGAAACGCATTGTTATTCGTTTTAATCCGCGCCTCGCAAACCATTGACGCACTCCTGCTGATTAGCAGCAATCACGTATGCCAGTGAGGTAACATTTTGAAATTGAAGTTTGTGCTTCTATATTTTGATGCATGCAGGCGTATGCATTTTGACTTATACATTTGAGCCAAAATTCGTCAATATTGTTTTCTTTCTGATGCAAAGAGAGCATGAAAAGGTCGTTTGAGCTCCCCACAAACATACACAAGCACATTCCAAAGCGGCCGATAGTCACACACAAGCACATTCCAAAGCGGCCGACAGTCACACACAAGCACATTCCAAAGCCGCCGACAGTCACACACAAGCACAGTCCAAAGCGGCCGACAGTCACACACAAGTACAGTCCAAAGCAGCCGACAGTTACACACAACCACATTCCAAAGCGGCCGACAGTCCAGCACCGTTCGGGCCTCAGTCAAGCGATGTTTTCAGAAGTGCTTTGCTTTTCAGATGCCCATGCCTGCGGCGAACTTCAGCTCCGGTCCCACAAGTTTGCCCTTCAAAACTTCCAGGAAGTCTGTGGCACGGAAGAATTCCTCTTCCTCCCCTTCAAGCAGGTCAGAACACGTTCAGCACTGCTCCGGCGCGCTGTGTAGCTGCAGACCATATCGCCGTCCGGAGAGCTTTTTCGTGCCGAACTTGCATCAATGGTGGCGTTGGACCGCCGCGAACAGCGGCTCCGGCTGCTTGGCTTTCAAAGAGTTAGCAATCGACCAGCCGTATTTAATCGCAGCCTAATGGCGCCTTAGCTTCTGAAAGCCATTCTGTCGCCATCCATTTAGGCTTAATTTCTCACAGATCTAGACCATGCCAAAATTGTCAGGCTAACAGCCACACCTCATGCTGCACCAGCCCTCCCAACGTTACCAACTTTTGGTGTTCCTTCGATTTCCTGTTTCGCTGCTGCGACCGATGTCCATATTATGCATCCTTTTTGTGACAAGGTTTTTTTGAAACAATGTAAAGATTTATTAGCGCGTATATTGGCGGGAATAAGAGGCCGCCCATTTGCATGCACCTGCCATTATCTCACGGAGTGTCTACACCCGCTGTTGATTTGCTCAGATTCTTCAACATAGCTGTATTTCATACGGCTTTTGTATTTGAAACCGTCATGCCTTCTTGTGTCGGCATTCATAACGTGATGGCGTAATAAAGAAACAATTGCACGCCACCTCTCCTGCCAGGTGAATGAGCTGATAGCCAGCAACCAGATGAACGTGGCGGACGAGGAGACGGTGTTCCGGTCAGTGGTCAAGTGGGTGCGACACGCCGAGGCGGAACGCAAACAGCACGTGTCGGAGGTGCGCAACAACGGACCTGTATGGTGCTGCTGGGTCTGGGTCATTTAACCAGGGTGGGCTCATATCATAAGCTGATAGTGGCGGCATTGTTACCTGAGGCTTCAGTGAATGCGGTGTAAAAAATGCAGGGCACACGGTCGTTTGAGCGGAGGCAGCGCCGTCCGAGGAAAAGCGTTTTGACGTCGGAGATTACGGTCTTAGGGTGGAGCATTAGTACGGGGAGATCGCAGTTTCCAGGAGACCGAATCATCACCCCAAGCTGTAGATTCCTTTCCCGTCAAACCTCACCGTCGACAAACAGAGATGTCAACCTCAGGATGAAGGCAGTTCTGCCTGATTGTGCATTGACGCACGCTGGCTCCGACCCTCGTTGTCAGCCGATGTGACACCTCGCTCGGTGCCGTGCCTGATGTGGGCAGGAGGCGTGAGATGAACCTGAGTCGGCGGGGCCCGAGCGGCGCCTGCTGCGTGGGTGGCGCCCACCCTTCACCTACATCCCTCGTGGCCGACCCTCTGGGAGGCCATCAGCCGACCGGCTATCATTTCTAAATACCGCCCAGCCCGCTATAAAACCCAATTACAGACGTGGACCGTGGTGATCAGCAAAATGGATTATGAATTAGCTATGGTGCTCAGGTTTTATGGTCGGCGAGAAATTATTCGATGCATCCGCGGCCGACCACTGGTGACGCATGAGCGCAGCCCCGCGGAGCGTTTAAGAGCGGTAATTTCACGGTTGAGGGAATATTTGCGGGCCCATGGCTTGAGATGACGTCCCGTGCCTCCGCCCTCCGCCCCTCCCATGCCCCCGTGAGTTACGCGGGTGGCTTGCGCTCATCGGGACGGACATGTTAAACTCTGCCAGTGAGAGCGCTTGCAGTTCCACCAGGTGTGCGTATGTGTCGGTGGATCAGACGTATGTGTCGGTGGATCAAAATTATGTGTCGGTGGATCAAAATTATGTGTCGGTGGATCAGACTGATGTGTCGGTGGATCAGACGAACAGTAAACTTTGACAAATCACCCAACATTTTGTGTACATGATTGTCCGACTTTGCTCCACCTAACATTGAGTCGAGGTGAAATGCCACATCAGCGTCCACCACTGGATGTGATGTTCCGCCATGACCGGCTCCCTCCAGTCTCTGTCGCCAAAAAGGGAATCCTTTGTCCCTTTTTAAAAAAAGGGAACGCGACGCACGTCGTCACGCCTTTTTTGGAGCGCCGGCGACTGCGCTGGTCACAGCGTTCATGGCCATAGATTAGCACTCAGGGCCAAGGCTTAGCGCTCAGAGCCATGGATTAGCGCTCAGGGCCATGGATTAGCGTTCAGGGCCATGGCGCAACCGGGATTCGAACCCCACGTGGGAGTCCAAGGCGCTGTCCATTCGACCATACGTCTCTGCTCGGTGCCGCTCCCGCCGCTGACCCGGGAGCACGTCACCCGAGGGTGTCGGGAAGAACCCCGTCGGTGAATGTCCGACCGGCCGTGCCGCAGCTGATGTCGCACGTCAAGCTGCCGCTGCTGCCGCGCCACTTCCTGGTGAGCACCGTTGACCAGGAGCCGCTGCTGCGCGACGACCCGGCCTGTCGGGAGCTGCTGCTCGAGGCGCTCAAGTACCACCTGCTGCCCGAGCAGCGCGCTTCCATGGCCAGCGCGCGCACCGCCGACCGCCGTCCGGACGCCGCCGCGCCCTACCTCTTCTCCGTCGGTGAGCCGGCTCCGTCTCGTCAGGCTGTATGTGAACGAGGGGTTCCCACGCATTTTACGTCATCTTGTGGTTATACTATACGCTGCGGTGAGAGTAGACTGGCCAAATGCGTTTAAGATAAGCTATCTACCACATTACACTTTCCACAGGTGCAAGGAGCATGACACATTGTCAAACCATCGCTCAGAAACAGTGTCATGCGTCATTGAACAACGCGGAAGCTATTCCCAGGTATCAAGGATAAGACAAAGGATGCATTAAGGCGTCATGGCTCCGCAATTCTTTGACAGCAGAGATGTACGAGATGTACACGGCAGGTATGCACGACAAGCAGATGTAGAGCGGTTCACGCCGCATGATTGTGAAGCCGCGCCGTCCACGTCGCCCACCCCGGTGCCACATTGCCCACACGCTGTCTGGCCGGCAGGCGGCGGCAGTCTGTTCGCCGTACACTCCGAGTGCGAGGTGTACAGTCCTCGGCTGGAGCGGTGGCTCTCGGTGGCCGCCATGAACACGCGGCGCTCACGTGCCGGCGTGGCCACGGCCGGCCGTCGCCTGTACGTCATCGGCGGCTACGACGGCTCCAGCGACCTCAGCTCGGCCGAGACCTACCACCCGCTGGCAAACACCTGGAGCTACGTCTCGCCCATGGGCACCAAGCGCAGCTGCTTCGGCGCCGCCGGACTCAACGGTCTCATCTACTGCTGCGGAGGTCAGGGGCGGCCCGCCGCTGACCGGCTGGAGCGTGTAGGTGTAATGAAAAGGTGGCTGCATCGGACAGCCTGAGTGAAACCCACTTTCGGCATGCGGCGATTTTGATCTCACTCAATGGCAATTTGTCCAACTTAACTAAATGATAAGATATGCAGCCGCCAGCTCTATCGGCTGCTTCATTGCTGCGTCGGTGTTGTGAATTGGCTCAAGGCAGTGTTGTTCAGCCTACAGGCCGCCAGTGACCGCTCCGTGCTGTGCCTTCAGGTTACGACGGCGCCTCGTGCCTGAGCAGTGTGGAGCGGTACGACCCGCTGGCCGACAGCTGGTCCTCGCTGCCCCAGATGCTGTCCCGCCGCCGCTACTGCCGGCTCGCCGCCATGGGTCAGTGGTGACGACAGCGTCTTCAGGCCTGACATGACCTCAGGCCAGGTTTGGAGACGTCCGGTCGCGCTTCACTGTCCAGATCGGTGTTAAAAGCGATGACTGCTTGTCTGCTGTTTTGTCTCAGCCCACGACGGCATAGGTTGTTGACCAAGATCGTTGCATAAGCCTGTTTTTGTATTGCATGTGACCGTGACCGATTCCGTCAGACAACTGCCTCTACGCCGTCGGCGGCTTCGACTCTGCCTCCTATCTGAGCTCGCTGGAGCGCCTGGACCCCAGGGTGGGCAAGTGGATGAGCCTGCCGCCCATGTCCAACAGGTACGGCTCCTTCACTCGTAGCGCCGTGCATGAATGGCTCGACGTCCGAGTGCACCAGTAAGACTGCGAGGGCATGGAGCGAGTGTTCAATAACAGATGTGAAGCTATTTATTACTTTCGTAACATAGACACTACCAAAGCTGAAGTAATCCAGCCAGACACCATTGGGAACCTGTAAAAAGCAGACTGGTAATTCGGAGCCGGAGTCGAAAAAGCTTAAATAATAGAAAGGTTATAATAAGTCGAATATAAATATACAGCAGGCTAGTAAATAATTAATAGGTTAATAATAGCTTAAGTCGGGGTTAAAAAAGCTTCAAAAACATGGCAATGCCTGCTCCAGTCCGATGTCATCTCTGGGCGCCTTGCATCAGACAGTCTTCAAGAGGAGGAATGAATGAAGAGTTGCACTTCTAGTGGCTGAAAACTGTATGGAGCTACGACCAGTGGTTGAAAACTATGAAGTCCCAGAAAGCGTGATAAATGGGCAGCATCGGGACGTGCCAACTGACCCTTCCTCACAGTTCAAACGAGGAATACTCCGCCGATGGCCTCGCTCCTAGTCATGCCATGCTATAAATTCCTAAGTTGAGAGATGTGAGCTAGTTCAGCAAATCATCTTCATAATTTACCTCTTGACCAGTCAAGACTGACGTAGATACCCTTGTGCTGTGGAATGCTCCAGCACAGTCGATGTACGTCCGGCTCTCTCTCTCTCTCTCTCTCTCTCTCTCTCTCTCTCTCTCTCTCTCTCTCTCTCTCTCTCTCTCTCTCTCTCCTCTCTCTCTCTCTCTCTCTCTCTCTCTTCTCCTCTCTCTCTCTCTCTCTCTCTTTCTCTCTCTCTCTCTCTCCTCTCTCTCTCTCTCTTCTCTCTCTCTCTCTCTCACCTCTCCCTCTCCCTCTCCTCTCTCTTCTCTCTCTCTCCCTCTCTCTCTCTCTCTGTCTCGTGAATAAATCCTGCATACAAATATCTGAAGAATAGTCGTACTCATATGCATTCTGGTATAATGGGAATAGGAGGCCACACGAACTCGGTTGATTCATTTCAAACATTTCGGGCAAGATTGGGTTCCACTGTGACGCCCGGTACGTTTCATGCAGATGGTTATTGGAATTCTCATCCTGGGCCAGGATTGTGCTCGATGAAATTATGGGCATCGCTACAAGGGACTGTAGATCATCTTTCCACCGCCCGCTATGCAATGGGAAAATAAAACCCATCAATTGCGTAGCTTTTCCAAAATCTGAGGAAGCTGAGGATAGACAAGAGGGTTTCACCAGCTCTGCAAGGGGTGTGCCTCCGCAAGAGGCATGGTTATCCCTCAGCAAAAAAAGTTAGCGACCTGGTGTGCAAACGCAGCGGAATGAGCGGCGTACCGCCGGAGTCACGCCGGAGTCCGTGACGCGTCTCCGGACGCTGGAGCCCGTGACGCGTCTCCGGACGCTGGAGTCCGTGACGCGTCTCCGGACGCTGGAGCCCGTGACGCGTCTCCGGACGCCGGAGTCCGTGACGCGTCTCCGGACGCCGGAGTCCGTGACGCATCTCCGGACGCTGGCGCCCGTGACGCGTCTCCGGACGCCGGAGCCCCGTGACGCGTCTCCGGACGCTGGAGCCCGTGACGCATCTCCGGACGCTGGAGCCCGTGACGCGTCTCCGGACGCTGGAGCCCGTGACGCGTCTCCGGACGCCGGAGTCCTTGACGCATCTCCGGACGCCGGAGCCCCGTGACGCATCTCCGGACGCTGGCGCCCGGGACGCGTCTCCGGACGCTGGCGCCCGGGACGCCCCGCTGGCACGGGTCAGAGGTCTTTGTTATTCCTGGTGGCCGCCCACTCGCGACGCCCGTTGTTCCGGGGTCGCTGAGAGCTCCAGCCGCGATTCATGGCTGACCTGTCGTGTAAAACAAACTCCGTCCATCGGCAGCATGTAGCTGGTTCTAGGTGTGGGTGTGGCGTGATGCATGTTTGGATTCGACGAAGCTAAACGTCGTGTCAGTGCGAATCACCGCCGGTGTTTGATGGGAGAGAGGGATGAGACGACGGGTTTGCGAAAGCGGTGGCAGCTTCCTCGCTCTTCTGGACAGACATTGCGTAACAATTTGTCCGCAAATTTACCCGCAGATCACGCGACACATTGTTTCTCCTGATCCCACGTCATCTCTGTCACGATCTGCCATGTCTGTCCCCGCGTCACGACTCTGTTGTCTGGTGGGTGAGCCTCCTCGAGCAGGCCGAGCGCTGTGCAGGAGTTACGTCCGCCAGCTGCAGCGTCCGCGCGAGCAGTGTGGCCCGTAAAAACGGCGCAGAGTAGCGGTGAGAGTGTGTAGGGCAGCCCCAATGCTCCCTATCTCAGAACTAGGCATTTGGTCAGCTTGTTAATGGTTTGGAGCATCTTGTTATTTTTAATTGACTCCCTCGATGCTCGTTGTTTCAAGCTATTCCTATTTGGCATTCAGTGATATTATGAACGCTTCATTGCGCAAGACAGAGAAATGTGTTAGTAAGATTCCTAAACCTTCTGGTGCTATCTGTATTATCTGCAGAATGCATCACCCAAAATGGACATCATCACTTCATCACTCCAATTTGAGCTTCCATCTTCTGACCTCCCCTGCAGGTACGATAGCCCGCAGGCAAAGTAAATACCTTCTTGATAGGTAACGACCCAAAAATGTCTTTCATCAACTTACTCAGACCCCCATTTCTATGAACGAAACGTGTAGATATGCGTATTCATCGGTAACGCACGGCATACGCAAACCTACATCACAGTAGCACAGCGGCGATTTGAATCGGCTACCAACGCTCATGCCAGCCACCGTACGGCTATAGCCTATCATCCCTGTGCCTTTGTTCTGTTAACACGTTCTGCCTGTGTCCACCCAATCCGATGCATCTACGCTGTCGGTCATCGATTTCACTGTAGCTCTTTCCGTCGATTCCAGTGCGGTTTCGTCCGGAATGTGTTCGGCGTCTTTCCGTCCAGTCCAGTGCGTTTACGCTCGGCATGTGTTCGGCGACTTTCCGTCCAGTCCAGTGCGTTTACGTTCGGCACGTGCCCGGCGTCCTTGTGTGGCTGGTCGGCCGCGGCGCCGTCTACGCGTGAGCCTGGCTCGTCCGTCACAGCAGTGGGGCGGCGCGCTGTCAAAACACGGCCCGTCGCGCCGACCAGGCCGGCGTCGATCATCGAGCCGCGCCCGGCCGCCGGGACCCCGCTGTCCCCGACGCCGGCCGCCGGACAAAACAACACCGCCGCCCCCACCGGGCAGCTCGGCGCGTCGGAGGACTCGGCACGGCCGGCCGAGCGGGGAGGCGGCGCGGCGGTGGTGTGTGGCGCCGCCGCCGGCTGCGGCACCAGTTGACGGGCAGCTGTGTCGGTCAGCCCCGTGGAAGTGGTGTCCGTGGCGAAGGTGCCGCGTCTCCTCGCCGAGGACGGCCGTCCATGCACTTCCGGTGGTTCCTGCTTTGTTTGGGCGACGGCTTCCGTGCAATCCAGTCGGGCCGTGCCTTGTAGGGAACGGCCGTCCTTGTGTTCCAGTCGGGCCGTGCTTTGTTTTAGGGAATGGCCGACCGTGTGTTCCAGTAGGTTCGTACTTTGTTACGGGAGACGGCTCCGTGTAATCCAGTCGGGTCATGCTCTGTTGTATGGAACGGCCGTCTGTGTACTCCGTGTGGTTCCTGCCTTGTTTGGGGGTACTGCCGTCTGTGTACTCCCGGCGGGTCGTGCTTTGTTCTGGGGGACGGCTTCCGTATAATCTCGACGACTCTTGCTGTGAAGACGACAGCCGTCCGCATAATCTTAGTGGTTCGTGCTTTATTCTGGGGGACGGCTTCCGTGTAATCTTCGCGGTTCATTCTTTGTTGTGGGGGCGAGTTCCGTGTAATCCTAGCAAATCGCGCCTTTTTTGCTGAAGACGGCCGCCTGTGTAATCCCGGCGGCTCCTGCTGTGTTGTGTGGACGACTTCGGTGTAATGGCTGCAGGTCGTGCTTTGTTGCTGTGGACGACCGCCCGTGTACTGCGGGCGGGCCACGACGCCGGCGTGCCGCTGTGTCAGCAGTGGCGTGTCAGGGACATGACAGGTGCCGCCGTGGTACAAGCCTGCCACCGACGACTTGACGGAGCGTGGGACCGGTCGCCATTAGTCAATAGACCGACCGCGTGCAGACGACATGGACCAAATTGGCAATATATTCGGTCATTGCCGCAACTTGCTTCAACTGTGTCCGGTGGTTAAAGCCGGAATTGATCATTTACGTCACGTTTGTTCAGCTTTTTATGGGTTTCATTTTTTCATTGTCATCCTCTGTTGGAAGCCTGTGGTCTAAATTCTTCTGCTTTTGCCGTATTTAGAGGCGTATCGCCAACCGTTATGTATGCATGCATTATGCGTTGAGAGTAAGTTATCTGCTGACATGTCACATTATGTAATGACACTGCCGTGCTAGATTAAGGCGCTATGGGATGGGCGGATCGATTTGACGCCCCCATTCCCACCTTGCCAACATAACTTCCGAATGCTGTAACGCGGTAATGTCAGTCTTTGTTTAACTGTGAGGAAGTGACCGATCCCACAGGACCAGAAAACACGATCATTTTCAAGACCTCTCACCTGTAGCCGATAAAAGCCAGGCCACAGTTGCCAGCGAAGTCAATTCTTTGTGTAGTCTGCAGGCTAATGCAATGAGAAAGTTTCAGAGAAAGTCACACGGCCTTGAGGTGACTGCAGAGAGAACGTCACAATCGAAATTAGGTTGATAACTTATCAATATCAACCGTCACAATAATTAGGAATAATCATCCCGATCATTATTTTCACCTTCCAAAGGTCAGATGAAATCACTGACCTGAAATGGCCGTGGATGATGTTTCGCTTGAAAAAGATATCGTGGTTTACGTTGGTTACGTCGGGTCTGACTACACTTCCGATAATAAATTGGTATTTGACCTTTTTAAACTTAGTTGACCCGGAGGTTACGACCTAGAAATGTTAAAATTTCGCACAAACGAAGTCTCAAACAGCCATGTATGCCCTGTGGATTTTTGTCTCTAGCTGTTACTTTTTTACATTTCAAAGGGGTCGAGTTGTCGACGTCACCGGCATTGAATACGACCTCGAATACGACGCTGCCCGGGCGCGTGGTATTCAACCGGCCACCCGGTGGCGTGTTGAGGGACCACTAAAGCGGCAGTCTACACGTAATACGTTCAAAGCAATCCTGAGCAAGCTCTTACTCCACCTTCCAATTCTGGAAAGCATAAGACAGCCCACCATAGAGCAGGACGGTCTCGTTACAAGGCGGCGCTCGCTGGACTCCGTTCTCACGCGTGGGAGCACCTCATCTGTGTCTCGACCAGCATTTCAGGAGGACGGCGGGAAATATGCCCAAGTTGGAAGCGAAATGCAGTTTGTAATGGGGTGTGTGGCCTGGAAAAGTGGAGTAAAGTGCAGCTCATATAGCCTTCGGCTATATGAGCTCTCAACTATGTGGGCCACCCAACAGATCAGCTGACGTGCATCAGGCAATGTTGGCGTCTGCTGGATTGTGACGGGAGCCAGCATGTGTCGATGCAAAACACGTGTCCATGCGAGTCTCGCACGTCCTGGGTTCTTTCCGTTGCGGTCATGGACCGAGCTGCCGCTCCGCTAGACACCGCCGGCCGGTGTCAGCGGCTCTGTGTCAGCGGCTCTGTGCCAGCGGCTCTGTCAGCGGTTCTGTGTCGGTGCCTCTGCGTCAGCGCCTCTGTGTCAGCGGCTCTGTGTCAGCGCCTCTGTGCCAGCGGCTCTGTCAGCGGTTCTGTGCCAGTGCCTCTGCGTCAGCGCCTCTGTGTCAGCGGCTCTGTGCCAGCGGCTCTGTCAGCGGTTCTGTGCCAGTGCCTCTGCGTCAGCGCCTGTGTCAGCGCCTCTGTGTCAGCGGCTTTGTGTCAGCGGCTGCGATGGTCGGCCTCGGCTGCCGCCCGCCCACCACCGACCCCTGTCCGCCAGACGGAGCAGCTGCGGCGTGGAGGCCGTCGGTGACTGGCTCTACTGCGTTGGCGGCAATGACGGCACCATGTGTCAGTCCAGTGGCGAGAAGTTCAGCCTGCGCAGCAACACCTGGGAGAGCGTCGCCAGCATGCAGTCCCGCAGGTCAGAGCCGCCGCACTAGGTCAGGTCAGGTCAGGTCTGGGACGGCGTGCGGTAACGCAGGCTACAGGCTGCACTGCAGGGCGGTGCGTACGTTACGAGCGGTGCCTGCATTGCGTAGTCGAATCGATTTAGGCTGTGCTGATTGTCAGCTTTGAACTGAACTCATGTCACGCTGGTTATAGCCTAGCGGGCTGTCTGAAGCGGTAAATGGATGACGTCACCGAGCTGGTGACTGCAATACAGGTAAGGTTTGCGGGTGACGTTGGTCCCGGCGCAGGCTTACATACGGCCCGACGAATGTCGTCAAACATAGCACGTCAGCAGACGGCTGAAGCGCGCCGGCGCCGTCCGCCCCGCCGCAGGTCCACCCATGAGCTGATCTACATGGGCGGCCGCCTGTACGCCGTGGGCGGCAACGACGGCAGCTCCAGCCTCAACTCGGTGGAGAGCTACGACGATCGACTGAACCGCTGGAAGCAGGAGCCGCCGATGAACAGTCGGCGCAGCTCGGTGGGCGCCGCCGTGCTTCACTGTGTCAGCCTGGTGAGTGTCGACCGCTGGTTCTGGCGCCGCTCCTAGGTGGCAGCACGACCGCTGGTTCCGGGACCGCTCCTAAGTGGCAGCACGGTCGTGGTTCCGGGGGCCGCTCCTAGGTGGCAGCGCGAGCGCTGGTTCTGGTGTCGCTCGTAGGTGGCAGTGCGGTTCTACCGGACTCGGAGTGGAGGACTGGTGGCGGAAGGACCGTTGTGTTTTGATACAAGTGTAGCCCATTGAAAGAGACGGCCAGATGTGTCGCATATGTATCCTTAGTAGTGGGGCACGTGATGTTCTTTAGTGAGTGATGACAGTGTGATTCTGATATTTATTCTTAACGAGTGGCATAGAATGCGCATGCTCGTGAAAAAAATAGCCAGATGGCTCGCATATTTTTATTTGTAGTAGATAGATGACATTTATGCAGATCTCAGCTTAGATGAGGAGTACCTTTCAGTTGTTTGACGGCTGTTTCTCCCAACGCTTAATTCTATGGAAACGTTTACATATGTAGCCTTTGAGTGTAACCGTTTTTTGTGTGTACCGATGGTGTGATGCAGAACTATGGGTGATGGACAGGACTGAGCCTCTTTATGGCTTAATTCTGTCCCATGCAATCAGCGACCATCCCCTGCAACATGACTTTGTATCTGATTGCGAAGCGTGCCTTTATTCTATATGTTTAGTTGTGGTACACTAAATGATTCGTCCCTCTCTACTATTTGTTTCTTTGCATGCTGTACCGCGAAGGTCGCATTCAAAACCACAATACTATACGTGCGCAATGCTGTGCACACATAGTGTCTTTACCTGACAGGTAGCCCCTGCCAGCTGCATGGGTTCGCAGTGCTGCGACGGTCTGGGTTGGGCTCGCCAGAGGATTCGGTCATTCTTTATTCCGGTGTTTTGTCGTCCCACGAACACCTCTGCCAGGATAATCAGGCAGCTGACTTCCGAGCAGATCATGCTGAGACCGGAGGAGGGACACGGGCGCGGTTCGATACAGATATGGATGCGGTCGGTTCTGACATGAAAAGCGTATTTTTGTAATGAAGCTGACTGAATGGCCATCCGGCAAACCGTAGCGTCTGTTACTTAGTGACTGGTGCCCGGTGACTGGTGTCCAATGGCTGGCATCCAATGACTAGTGCCCGATGACTGGTGCCCAATGACTGGTGCCCGATGACTGGTGCCCGATGACTAGTGCCCGCTGACTGGTGCCCAGTGACTGGTGCCCGATGACTGGCGCCCGATGGCTGGCGCCCAACGACTGGTGCCCGTTGACTGGTGCCCAATGACTGGTGTCCGGTGACTGGTGCCCGGTGCCGGACAGCATCCCAAGCTGTGCAGGTGGCTCAATCTGTGGTATCTATCCCTATATGTGCGCTGAATACGAACTGGAAAACCACTGCGGGTGGACTTTGGGCTTGTGGGGAGAGGTTGGCAAGTTGGCTTTGAGCTGGTGATGTCATTCAAACCGACAGAAGGAGGCTTCGCATAGCCAAACATGGTGTCCGTATGCGGGGTCTCTGATGATATTCCCAACGTGGGTTTAATAACGTCTCTGAAGTCGGAGAACAAATGAAGATGGCCGGCCCATGCTGACATCTCGGGAGACAACCTGACCTGAAAATTAATTTTTATGTTCATGTAATTTTCAGCTTCAAAAAAGGGTTAGCACGAGCATTCTACAGGCAAGATCGGAGGTCACAAAATATTTGTACGGCAAAATTGTGGGGCATGTCCGCTAGCCTTCCTCCTCCTGAATGAATACACCCATATCAAAATGTGAGTCCTGCTAGTGGGCACGCATGGTCCAGTATGGGTCTGCTGCATCCAACGTAGTGCTACCTTTATTGCAACCGGTTTCTGGGCGTATTGCTTATTATACTGGTAAGTAGCGCATGGACGGAAGAGCTGCGTGAGCCGCAACCGCTTAAATAGGCTAGGTGTCCCGTATGTTGTTTATCGCTGTTTTTTCATTATTCGCCTTGCTGCTAATATCACAATCTCACAATTTGGCGGTAGTTTCATGGCGTTATTCGCCTTGTTGCTGATATCACATTCTCACAATTTGACGGTAACAGAAATATTAACCAGACGTTATGCATCTCACTTGTCAGCACGGCCTCGATTCAATATAATGACGGTGCAACCAAGATCACTTGAAGCTCTGCTGGCTCCCATTTGGACCAGTGCCCTCATTTTGACAAGACTGGTTTGGAAACCCCACATTGCCCCGCATTGACTCCGTGGAAGCGCTTCACCGACGCCGACCCCAGAATTTCCACTACTTTAATTTGCATTTCTGTAAGAAACTTTACTGACCAGCGACCTTGCTTTGCCGATACCTTGTTGACTTACAAAGCATTGACCAAGGTGTCCGCTCTCTGACCTTTGCAGTGGCTGCGCCAATCAAAGAAGGCTGTTCAACAGAATTGTTATGCCAACTGACCGCTGCAGGCCACGCGCCCCTAAAAACCCAACCGCTACTAGATTCCAACCCTTGCCTTAACAACGAAGCACTAAGCCTTGTTGCTGTGGACCAGCGTTTGAACGCATGCCGATCATGCATACTAACTGGAGACGCGGCCCGCGACTAGGCACGCAGCCCACTGACTGAGGACGAGGTCTACTGACTGGAGACGAGGTCTATTGACCGGAGACGGGGTCTTCTGACTGAAGGCGAAAACCACCGACTGGGGAAGAGGTCTACTGACTGGAGATAAGGGCCACTGACTGGAAATGAGATGTTTTGACTTTGGACAGGGATTGTTGACCGGAGACGAGGCCAACCGATAGTAGACGAGGCCCATTGACTGGAGATGACGGCCACTGACAAGGGACGAGGGCCACTGACTGAAGACCAGGTCTACTGACTAGAGACGATGCCTGCTCACCGGAGCCGCAGCCCACTAACTGATGGTGCAAACCTCTAACCAGACTCGCGGCCCACTAACCGCACGCCCTGTGTCCGGTCAGGAACGGCTGCTGCGCGGCAAGCAGTGGAGCACAGCACCCCTGACGGCCTCGCTGACCTGCGCCAGCGGTGCGGCGCGCCCCACCAGCCTGTACAACAGGCAGCGCGAGACGGCCGGCGGCGATAAGGTGCGCCGCGACCGCCGCCTGGACATGGCGCACCGCGGCACCTTGTGATCGTCGGCCGCCGGCTGCCTGCGCGGGTGCATCTGCTGACGGCGACACCAACCGGACGACCTGACCTCTATCAGTTGAGGCAGATGCCGATAGATGGCGGGATCCACAGCCTGTTGCGAGGCAGTTGTCCGGTCAAGAAGTCAGATGCAGCGTTGTGCAGGGGTCTGACCCCTGCCCTACGGTGGTATTCAGAGCAGTCGGATTGCAGTGTTCGTTACGTTGTCACCCAATTCAGACCTACTCACCAGCGCACACGCGGCCATCACAGGCGCCACTATTCAACAACCCCTGTGCGGAACCGGATCACACCACAGAACCTGAAGCCCCACCTATTCCAAGAGATTGGCTGAAACGTTGTAGGACTACCTTCAGCGAAGACACGGAGCCTAGCTGCCGTTTCGTTGAGCATTTTCCGCGCAGGGCGATCGGGGAGGGATTTGCCCGGGTTGAAAACCAGCCCGCTTGGACAGGTGTCCACTCACTGCCAATTTACCACTGCCCGCGCGCAGCTAATAACAGGCCGCACTGCCAGAGAGCGCCGAGAGGACTGAAACAGGCGGCTGCTAATACACCTTGCCGTTCTGACTGCGAGTGAAACGGACTGTTACCTCACTTGGCGAGCGTTTAACGAGAGGTGCATTACAACGAAACTAGGTAGTGGCTACGGTTGGTGATCAGGCTACTTATTCCAACGAGGGAACAAGGTAAGTAGCGCAGTTAGTTCAGACACGACTTGGACGATATCATTCAGGAGGAATGGGAGCACGACTATGGGTGCACCGCCCTTGCAGAACTGGGATTGTTACGTTCAGCGCTGTTCCTGTTGCTTCATACGTAGTTGCACATTCCAGGGCATGAAATGCTTGTTGACCTGTTTCTAAACACGAGTAAATTTCATGTTCCAGCTAGCAGATGGATTATCAGCTCTGTCTCGTTTTGTCTAGTAGCGGTCAGCATTAATTTGCAGTGAGTGATTGATTTGCAGCATTTAAGTGAGCGATTCGAATAAGGATCTTCAAAAATCGCGCTTACCTAGCCATTCGAGCTTGTGACTTTTAATGTCGTTTCGAAGGCTATGTAGCAAACATTGGCATGGACTCTGCTTTCCACCTGTTTTTAACCTGTGAGCACATTCCAGCAGTTTATTTGTTGTGTACGCATGTAATGGTAAAGCGGCTTTGCAGCTGATTGTTGTTTGTTCTGACTGGCATTTAAATGCACTGAATGTCACTTTCCATCGCTGGCGGCGCGCCAAAAGTTAATGGCATGTTTTCACACGTAGGGTACTCGTTTTACGATATTTTGACGTTATATATCAACTAAGCATGTTACCACACATCAGGCACTATAATGAGGAGCGCGCCGCCCATACTTACGTCTGCCATACAACACTGCCGACAAGCTATAGGCGGATGTGTCCAAGTGAGCGTGTTGCATACGGAGTAGCCACGCCTTCAGTCACTGCCAAAGCGGGCGTTGATGACAAGCAAAGCGTTATGGTTATAGTGTGTCCACGTGTGCGACTGGGACGGTCACCACCTTCGCAAGTCGGTTCCCACCAGCGACCAGTCAATGCGACACTGCGTGGGAACCGAACCCAGCTCCTTGCGTTCACGACTCGTACCCCATCTCAAAAAGCGAGACGGCAATGTGCGCCATTTTCCGTTCACATTCTGGGAGCGTGTGAGCCGAAGCAGTTCACCCTTACTTAACATGTATATTTTTAAGCCATCAATGTGAGGAATCAGTGACACTTGTGACATGGCACGTTGCCCAATGTTTGTAGGACGGTATTCAAAAAGGGATGAATGTCAGGGGTTTCGTTTTTCGGAAATGGCCGTTGGTTGCATTAAGATCGCATACTCGACACGGAGATATACCCATGTCGGACAGACTGGTTCGGAGGATGCTCCTCTTTCAGAACAAATGAATGGAGGCCGATGGGAAGGCCTCGCGGGCCTCGCAAGCAATGGGCCGTGGGGTAAAGGCCGCAGGTGGATGCGAGCCGCTGACAGGCAACGTCACTGGGTTTCCGGTCTGCACACACATGGTCAGCAGCCCCTGCTGATGGCGGTTTGTTCACGCCGGTTCCCCTCACCACGCCGGATTTGTGCGCTGACGCGCCTCAGTCAACACCGCAATACAAGTTTCTGTAAGTGGGCCGTGTTGTGCGTGTCGTGGGTCGTTCTGTATATAGATACCTCGGTTGGTTATAGGTTTAACTCTCTGTCTACTAGTCGTAACCAGCAGCTGTACGCCATTGCCTTTGAAGAGGTTCTATGTTGACTCGCCCTCCCCGCAGCTGACAGAGGTGAGATGTTCAGGTTTATATCTGTGTGGCTGCGATGAAGAACACGTTGGCGCCCGCGTTCCTCAGATCAGTAGCCATGCGCTCCAAGCAATACGCTGCGATTGCTTCTCCGCAAACCTTGCCGTCGGGTCTTCTTCGCGCCGCCGACGCCAGCCGACCTCGCTCGAGACCCGTCTGTCATTGTGTGCTGGGACGATACACGGCACAGTGTGTTTTGTTGGCGTACACACCCACGTACCCAGTACAAACACGACACGTGCTTTGAAACCGCTAAAATGTGCTCGTATTTTGCGAAGTTAAGGGCATTTTAATAAAAGTGTGATGAGCTGAATTGTCTGGGTTTCAACAATCGAGACTGGCAAGTGTTCGCACCACGAACCAGTGAGAAGGCACACCAGACTTTCAACGCGGCGTGGCTGCGCCGCCCGAAGCGAGAAGGCCTAACCCAATTCAGATCTCCCATGGCGATCGATGCGAAGCTTCACAAATGTTCCGTAAGTCACGCGCACTGCGTGCGAGGCCTACTCCCGCGTCGAGCAGTGCCTTGTGCGCGCAGCACTGCACTCCGGCAACACTTACCCAGCTGGACGCTCCCTGTTTACTGCAGCTCGCGCACTGCTTGCGAGGCCCACTCCCGCATCGAGCAGTGCTTTGTGCGCGCAGCACTGCACTCCGGCCACACTTACTCCAGCTGGACGCTCCCTGTTTACTGCAGCTCACGATCAGTGGCGACAATGAACCCCGATCAGTGGAAACCGGACCTGAGTGATCAGTCAGTGACCTGAGAAACCCAAGCGCACGGTAGGCCAAAGCTTAGGCCAAAGCAGAAAGATCTGACCACACCACATATAAGTCCTAGATGAAAACAGCGGACACCCGCCGTTCTGGCTAGCGTCGGAAGAGCAACGACAATCATCTGTAGTAATGCATTTATTCCAGTGGTCACATGACACAGCAGCACTGTCATTCCCGGGAGCGCACCTATCACGAGCGGAGGAGTGAAGCACGCTTACTCGATGAAACTCGCGCTTCAGGGACAACGCGGATCGACGACTTTCACCGAGTCAGCGGTGCCTCACGACCTGGACAGAACCGGAGGTTACACATCGCACCAGCACACCGATCCAAAAAGCATCTCAGAACCGATCAGCGTCAGCGTGAACATCCAGCCACAACGGCTACAGCAGTCATAAACCCCACCGCCAGCCCGGGGTCTACAAAAAAACGGCCCGAATCAGGATTCGAACCCACGTCCCAATCATATCCGCGCACAACATTCGCCACCGTCCCGCGGGAAGGCGACGACTACTTCTTCAGCCGGTCGGCGCTGGCGTCGAACTGATCGTCGTTGATGTTCAGCATGAGCGTGCCCGTATTGAGGTAGACCTTGTTCTGCGACTGGGCCACCTGTGAGCAGGGCGGCGCCGCTCAGCTCGCGCGTAGCAGCGCCACCTGGACGACACCGGCATCGACGCCCTCGCCGACACAACAGCCAGCGGCAGCTCTTGGGAACATGCAGACCGCAAGTAAGTTATGTGACGACCACATTGCAAGACTGACTTACATAAAACGCGCAATCAACTTTAGCGAAGTGCTACGTAGGCAATCGGCTCTTCTTGTGACAGGTATCAAACCATCCATTGATCCAGTGAGCTGGTGCCCGGCGCGCCGGCACCCATACCGCGGTACCACGGTACATGGAGGCGATCTGGCTCTCCCATACGGACACGCTCGCGACGCTGCTTACCGTGCGTGCGATGTTCTGGGCGGCCCTGATCTTGCGCAGCTTCAGGTAGCCCGGGTTCTGGCTGATCGCCTTACCCACGTGCGCACCAGTCAAGGAAGTCCGCCTGAACTCGTCGACGCCACATACACACACCGAGGTCAGATTACCAAAGATCTCTTCAGCCGAGCGCGCGTGCCTGCTCTCGACCGGTGGCCGCTGCGCCGTGCCCTGCTACCCCACCCGTCCCCATGTCACGCGCCGCCACCGGACCGTCGTCAGCCGCCACTCACACGTGTCCCGCTGCCTACGTTACTGTGGCGGCCTCGGACGGCCGCCCGGACGGTCAGAAGTTCGCTGACCGCCCGGACAGATGGCGGTCGCGTCATGTGTCTACGTGCGGCCTTACAGCGGGCGCCCGGTCTCGGGACGCCCGCCAAGATTTCACACGACTAACGGCGTCAGCGGTGAGCCCAGTCGAGAGGGCACGGCGCGTGGGCGTCGGATTCGCCTTTCCTCATCATTCCGAACTCAGTGATCATGCCGGGTGAAACTCAACACAGCTTGCACACACATCTCCAAGACGCCTAGGTGAGTAGGGCGCATGCGCAGCCTGCATCGGCTCAAAGGATATCATCTCGGCGGCCTGCGTCTCTCCCTCGGCCTGGACGATCTTCTGCTGCCGCTCCTGGATCGCCCGCTCCACAATGAACGCCGCCCGCTGCGCCTCCTGCTGGGCGACCTGTGAACCGCGGCACGTCCCAGCGTCACCACCGGCCGACAACTGGGGTCAGGCTTCGGCAGAAAGGGTAAAGACGTACGCCTGGTGAGCGCTCACTTCTAACTGGGCTTCGGTCGGTAACTGCAGATAACGGTTAATGATAATCGCAAATTCAACATAGTTCATCTTATCAAATGAAAGTATGGTTCGAGTCAATACACGTTGTGGCAGCCAGACTGGCATGATACGGCGGAATTCCGTGCATTTAGTTTTCATGAGTTGCAAATGGCCTTGCTTAACACGCGCTCGGTGCCCGGCCGGCTTCGCTCGGATGGGGGGTCAATTTGAACCCCCCCCCCCGAGATCTCGCGAACTAAGGAGGCTAGAGACACCAAATTTACAGGGTGTGTTGACCTGTGCATGAACTCACTTAGGTCACATCTTGAGGTCCCTAGGGCATGACCTTGGGGTCAAATAAGGTCGAACAAGGTCAATTTCCAGGTTGGTCTCCTAGTGCCCACAGAACCTAGATAACTGTTTCTAAGCAAAAGGACACAACCCATTCCAGGTCAGTGACCTTGTTTGACCTTTTGAAGGTCATGGCGACCAAAGTCATACAAGACTGCTCAGAGTTTTGCAT